GTGGTTCTGAGATCACATCTGCCAGTTCCTTCAGAATCTTGGGGTGTAATCCATCTGATCCTGGTGATTTGAATTCATCCAGGGTGGACAGGTGCTCACTTACCATTTTCTTGCCTATTTTAACTTATGTTTCTAATCTGCTTTTTACAATACTGTTTTGATAGGTTGAAATGTTTTTTTCTCTTTGCGTAAAGATGGATGCAAAAAACAAGTTAAATAGTTCTGCTTTCTCCCTGTTGCTTCTTACCTTTTTGCCACTTTCTCTCACTAATGGACCAATTATTTCCTTAACTTTTTTCTTGTTTTTACATGTTGAAAGAAGGGGGTTTTTTTGTGTGTGTTTGACTTTTGTCGCAAGTCTTAGTTTATTTTGAGCCTTAACTTTCCTCATTTCATCTTTGCAGTTTTGGGCTATTTGCTGATATTCTGCCTTAGAGTCCAGAGGGATCTTTTGCATCTTTTCGTTGGAATTTTTTTTCTCTAGGTGATTGTATTGTATAAAATAACCCCTCATAACTGCTTTTCTGTCATCCTACATAGTTATTAAATTTGTTCCTATTATCAATTATTATTGATAATAATTTGGTTTAAAATCTTTCAATCTTATGATAATGTTGGCCTTTCGATATTCTACTCTTCTCAAAATGCGAATCTACCATTTGTTATCTCCCTTCTACTTTTTTCTTCAGTCTGTTTAAAATGAAATACACAACCAAGTGGTATGCTAAATCCCAAAGTCTTCTTATTTCTATCTAATTGTGATTTTTATTTGCAATGCATCTAAACACAGAAATCAAAACCTTAATTTAAAAAATTCTACTTTTAAATAATTGAAATTTTTAGATATCACGTTCACCATTCATTCATTCCTGACTGCTGACCTTATAGTTGAAATACAGATTGATTTCCCTTTTAAAGTTGTTAGTGATCAGAAAGATGAGGTGGAAGAATGAAAACAGGGAAGGCCCATGTTGTGGCTCCGTCTTGTGAGCCCCTCTTATCGGAGGAAGAAGGCTCCGAACATGAAGGAGAGGAGATGGCTAGGCCTCCCTCTCCAGGACCCTCCTCTTTGGCAATGCCTCAGGTGTCTTCCAACGGAGAAGAGATTGACCAGGAGCCAGGTGGTTCAGAGATTGGCCAGGAGCCCAGTGTTTCTCAGATTGGCCAGGAGCCAGGTGTGTCAGATAATGAGGAAGAAAAGTTGTGGCTGGATCCACGCCAGTGTAGGAGCGATAAGCATGTGCAGCAGAAAAAGAGACGTGCCAGAGATTAAGCTGAGTCACTGGACCACACCCCACAGGCTATAAAAGGGTGGTGGTGGCCATTTGGACCTCTGTGACGGACAAAAGCTGAATCTCTGGCAAAGTAGTGTGCTGTGGTTTTAAACTGTGTGTATTGTTTTTGTTTCTGGGTGTTTGGAGTAAAAGGTCTTGGCAGGCAG